ACTTAGCTTATTAAAATAGCATTATCTTTAATTTAATTTATCTTTATTTTGTTGCTTAGCGGATTATTCTACTCTGTTGCGTTTGAAAATTATAAAAAATCTAAATTAATTTTTTTTTTAAGAATATCGTTAATTTTTTCAGTTAACTTTACATATCTCAATATTTATGCACATTTTTTGAATTAGTTTTTTATATGTCATTAACTTATAAGAATATATTTTTAAATATTTTTTTAATATTATTTACATTGCTAATACAGTTAAACACTAATCTTTAACTTAATTTATAAACTGAAAATTTATTAAAATTTAACTTTTCCAAAACCAAAAACTTTCATTAACTCTAGACCAAATTAAAAAAGAATGATTATATATTAATTACAAATAATTCCAGACAAAAAGTAATTTATGCTTAATTTTGATTTTTTTATTGTCAAATGTGACACATCTAATGACAAAAAGAAACTAAAAGGTTTCGAACACTAATAAATTTAATTTATTGAAATATTTGTTATTGCTTCTTCTGTTTGAACCCTTTTAATTTATTCTTATTCTTTATTTATTTATATTCCTTAATTTAATTCGTAGACTATCATACACTGCTTTAAGCCAATATGATTCAGTTGTGAATTCTAGTAAACCCGTTCTCTTAAACAGATATCGATGGGACGAACAGTTTTGCTCCATAAAGAAAACGATGAATTTTGTGTGAAAAATGACAACTAGAGAATAACATTTTTGTATGGCTTGAAGATTCCAAGTACTCATTTAATAGAGCTTTAAAGTACTTAATATTTTATTTATTTATTGCGAACTTACCAGGACAGTAACCAGGACAGTAATATATAATATTTAAATATTTTAATACATTTATCAAAAACTTATGAACAACTTTGTTATTGTTTCATGCAGTGCTCTTTCATATAATCTATTATACTCGTACTATAAACGCACTAGTTAGCACAAATATACAGTGCACTGCTTAATTGAACCGCATTAATGTGGTAGAAAATTTCTTCACTTAATAAACGAAAAAAATCGTACAGAGGGATAACTAATTTTGGAAACATAGTGATGTTTATGATTGCATATTTTTTTTGGTATGTCCTGCTTTGGAACTCTACACCTCTGTTAATACTGAAAATATTTATTTTATTACTTAAGGATCTTTTTTATTAATATCAATTTTGGCATTGGGCTATCCAATTTTTTGTTATGGAAATTTGAGTTGCTTTTAATATCGCAATAATTTCTTTTAAAAAAATTAATAGTTATTATCAAATTGATTTATATTGAACACTAAAATTTTAGTTCTACTTTACTATGATCTTATGCAGACAATCATTTTGCATAATTTACACATTAAAAAAGAATTAATTAGTAACAATTTCGCGCTCGTGTTAACCAATATTAGAAGCTCTCGTACTAACACTTACTGATTAGTGTGTCAAATATATGCCAAATGTAATTGCAAAATGCTATGTGCATTTTGAATAATTAACATAGTAATTTTAATAAAACAACAACACTAAAAGCAATGTCGCAAACTAGCAAAACAACAATTTTAAATGCCAATGGAGGCAAAACCCATTGAAGAGCAGACACTCATCAGAGATCAAATGGAAACAGCAAATTAGCCTATACGCATAGATACGTGCCATACCAGCATTGTACATCCACTAATGTGACTAATGTGTACGTAACTAAGGTGTAATGACATTTTTGATGGCATATGAAAACCGATCTACAGAAATCTACAAGTCAGTGTACGCATCTGTTGCAAGTGTAATAAAAAAGTAGAGATTGTTTTGCATACAAAAAACTCTAAGGCAACAATACAGATACGTCTATGTTATTTCCTTATTTTGTACCACTATGACCTAAAATTGAACAAATTCGAAAATTTTGGTAACTATACAGATTTAGTTATATATGACAAAAAAAAAATATTACTATCTTATTTTTTTTTGTATTTGAAATGTTGATGCACTGCCGTCTCACTACTATTTGAAGCCCGAACCTTCGTTAGTTGAAAACTTAATATTAATAACATAATTATTTTGAAGCCAATATTTAAAACCAATAACTATTTTTACACCATTTGGCAGCAAATATATTTAAATTAGTTGAAAACACCTCAAAACATATTATGTTTATGTGAATATGATATAAGTTTGCTAAGAAAACAAGCCCTAACGATTTATTTAAATTAGTTGGTCGTCGTAATTTTTGAGGCTTTACTCGTGTTAATACCTAAAAAAAATTTTTTTTAATTGCCATAACATCATTCGAAAGTTATAAAACACGTAAATTAATTTTTAACAAAAATTGTTCTTTAGACAAAAAACTTTTAACATTGTTAATATTAAACAAATACAAAAAAAAGAGCTTCAAATAATATTATAGAACCTTACTAATCGATGTAATCCAAATTCAAATCGGTATATGAAATATAAACCAAATACATTTGTCCATTACAAATTGAGATGTTGGTTTATGCAAATTTATCTTATGATATTAATGTTTATATATTAGCAAGAATAATTATGTTCCTTTATCCGCCAGATACATCAATCAATATGCCACTTTCATTTTATCTTAGCAGCACCAGATTTTCATTAACTTTACCTTAATTTCAAGGATTTTAAAATATAGTAATGACAGAATAAATTATTTTATAATTTTCTGAATAAATTATTAAGCAATATCTTATTATTCGTTTTCTTCAACTTTTATTTATAACCGAAAATCTGTCAAGCATACTTTCTGCATTAGTCTCTTTATTTTATAAGTTGAAGTATAAAACTTTCTTGAAAGTATCTCAAAAGCATAAAAAGCTTTTATATTAATGAGCAGCACAAAACTATGCAGTTAAACTGAAAATGAAATAAATTTATTTCCAGTGACTACGAAATTGTAAAAGTTATCAAATGGAAATATATTTCAGAAATATATTTTAACCGAATACCCAATAAGTTCGTAGGATAAATAATAGTTAGATAAAATTAATTATAATTATTAGTTATAAGGTAAGGAAAATGATGCTTCCCAACATATCTCTAAGATTTCTTTGTTTTTTTATAGGAATATTTATTTTTCAACTCCAACTAGGTTTCACTTCTGACAATCAATTCTCCATACACTTTTCCATAATAGTAGCTGAAACAGAGATTCACAAAATACAATAGATGAAGAAAAAATTCAAAGCGAAATTTGCGTAATTTTGCATTTGTTATTATTGAAACGATATTTATTATTTAATTTATTTGATAAAAAATCCGGGGTTATTTGGTTTTAAATGTAACAGTCACAACATATAATATTTGTGTGTTATTGTTCCTCCATGATAATGATAATCGATGAATAATATATAATGCATCTCCTGAAATACGAAGATCAAAACATATCGATTTCAGCTGACCGACTATTTATTTTTAAAGTTAACGATGCAACTATTTATTATTTATTATTATTACTATTTATTACTATTTATTATTATTATGAAAAGGGTATAGTACACTGCGACCTAAAAGATCTTTTGTGCTCCTAAGTCGGATTAGAGTGTTTCTCAAAGTCCGATTTCTTTAAAATATAAAGAAATACATTACGCTGTCAATATATTAGTAGAGGCCTATATTACAAATCATTAACTTAGAAGAATTATGAAGAATTAAATTGCCAATGCAAAATTATGTGTGCTCCTTCTGAGGTGCTAGCTAAGTCTACAAAATTACACATAAATATTGTTTCGTCCATCTTATGTAAAGTGCCCCATCATCTACTCAGAAAGTAACTGTTATTCTTGATATAACTTCATATTATATTATTTATTTTCAAACTAATACTTCTTACTAAACTTATCAATGAAAAGCAGAAATATGCAATTTTTTAATTTTATTACTTATTTTTTTTAAACTTAGATTAACTCGTAAGTAACTAACATCGTTGGTTTCATTTTGTTTAAAAAAATTTATGTACAAATATGTTACGAATTGCTTAAAAAAATAAAAAAATTATTATTATATCTTAATCTATTTGCCCTTTATGTGTCACGTACGTATCGTAAATTGAACCCTGCTTACTTCGTTCTTTCAAACGTGAACAGACAATCATTAATGATCCTGACAGAATGCATAGCATTAGAGAAAATGTTGCTGTTAATGCTGAAAAAGTTGTGGTCTTTAGGCACGTCTGCGGTGGCTCTGACAGAAATTGTCTTGCATTTGTATAAGTACTACCACCTTCAGATTCCCCTTCTTGTAACACACGTAGCGATTGAAAGAGATTCACATTTTCAGATAAAGGTGGATCTTGTTTTTCTATAACTTCGGTAGGATCGGCTAATGGTAGAGGTGCTAATGCTGCTGCAGTCATATTCGAAATATCACGTTTGGTCACCGCTTTTAGATTTCGCCAATGACAAGGTTGACTCTAAAAAGTAAGATTGTTTTAATATTCAAATATAAATAATTTTAAAATTTTATATACCGGACATCTGCCATGACACATGCGCACATCACACTCAATATATAGTGCAGGCGAACCTGTGAATCTAAAAGTTTTCATGTAAGCATAGACCTGTGTTTCGAACACACCCGAATCCGACCAAGAACCTCGGAAACGTGATATTAGCTTATCATCAACCGGACAACCATGATCGTCAATTAGCTGTATACGCTTATTAGCACCATTGTGCGCATAACAGTCATTAACTATTATATCAAACCCATCTATTAAGAAAAAAATAGCAGTTATATGCAAAAATTTATTCAGAAATAAAAAATTGAACAAACCATATTTGCTGCGCATATATATGATTAAAGTAAGGGGATCTCCCACACGCACTGGACCGGTAACACGATCACCACTAATACCATAACCATTTCGTATTTCCATATAACACTCAGGTGGACTGAGCGTGAATACAACGGGATTACCGGTGGCGACTCTGGGAAAAAAATCACTAATTTTCAAACGATGTTTACACAAACAAATTTTTGTCATGAACTACTCACTCTACGTCTAAAAATGGAAATGTTACGGTTTTCCAAAAGTCATAACCGTATTCACAAGTTACTTTGAAATGTTCATCATATTCTTCCTCGATTAATGGATTATACTGTACAGTTACTGTATTCCACATAAAGTTCTTAAGAAATAAGTAAATTTTAATATAATACAGTAAATATTATTTAGATATATGTACCGTAGGGTTTTTGCGACTTTCATCATTTAAGGCATTTTTCCCTAAAGTACCACAACGATTGAGTTGTATATAAAACTCATAATAATCCCGACCAGTACCGTTCACATACATGCAATCTGGATCATAGGCATAACCCGCGGAATAAATCAAACCACTAAATGAGCCATTGAAACCAATACGTATCTTCATATAATCATCTTGACATTCAGCTTCGATATCTAGAATAAAGTAAATGATAAAATTTCGTTAATGTTTTTCAGTTTTTTGTTGTCTTACGTTTAACTCGAGTATTATTTAATCCAAATGTTTTATGATAATCATGTTCCCAGTACTCGCTACGCCATTTCTCAGTTTCGTAGGGTGGCGTTTGATAACCACTCCCACTGCCAGTTGAAACAGCGCCAGAGCCTGATATACCTGAACTTCCATATTCTGGTGGAGATAAAAGCGGTCGTCCAATGCGGTATGGTATGTGACCAGAGGACTCTGGCATATGGTCAGTCTACAAAAAAACAATTTATTAAAGTTATCCTTCAATGAGTTGGTTTTTTACAAAAACTGGAAACTTAAAGACAAAAATTTTAAAAGAGGGTATAGTACAGAAAACATATACCATAGATAGGACGGAAAAATTCCAAAGAGAAAATCGAAAATTCATATCCGCAAGTGCATAATAAGAGAAATATAGAAGTTGGTGTAATATTACAATAATAATAATAATAATATAATTACTATAAGATATTAACATTTCTAAAAGAAACCATTTAGAGAAAAATGCTCTCTATTATAATACGAGTAACTATCACTTCAACTATTCTAAAATATTTTTAATTGAGGAGATTACGATTTGATATCGTAATATAAACAAGCTGTTTTCACCCTGTTTATACATATATATATAAACATAAATATACATCATGTGGAATACATCCATTATAATATAGTGAATTCAAATATTGAAGTTATCTTCAACTCAATTTTTCAGCTTCTGTTCTTCAAACGAAACTAAAGTAATTCTTACTTTGACCTGTTACGATCATTGTTACTAATTTTGTTTTTTTTCCTTAAACTGTTCTTAAGCAATGGACAAACCTCATAATAATGGTAATGTGTTAAATAATATCTTATTAGTACTAATATATATATATATTTATACAGCAACAACATTTTTATGCCTCGTCAGTTCTTATAATTCCTTTTTAAATATTAATTTTCTTATTTTGGCTACAATTAATAGAAACAATGCGAAATAGTATAATAAACTGAAGATATTATCATTAAGAACATAGAAGGTATTTTTAATATTAAAAAAGATAAACAAAACTAAAAAAGGTGCAACTAAGGATTCCAAATTCTGGTTAAAGAGAGGATATGTGCCTTCGAAGTTTAATAATTCGTCCAAAAAGTTCTTACCGCCTCATTTTGTACTTTATTGCGTCCCTCAATTTCTTTCGTACGGTTTTTATTATCCTTTATAACTTTCTAAGATACAAATTTTTGATATTTTTTTATATAAAATAAAATTATTTCACGTCCTTTTATTAAATGAAATATTCTCACCTTCTGTTTTGTATCTGCAAAAATTCCAGCACGTTTCGCCAACTTCGGCGTCTGAGTGGTCGGTCCTGATATATAAGATTTTGACGACAACGCCGCTAAAGGTTGCTGTACTGCCTTTTGATGTTCTGGACGTGCACTTCCGTTCGATCTGTTGCTAGCGCCATTAATTTTTGCTGCCGCAGGTGCATGTTTTACTTTTAAATTTCTACCGTTCGCGGTAGCGGGTTTGCTCAGAACAGCGTACTCAGTGGTTAAATCAATTGCAGTCGTTGTTGTCTGTTGCAGTAACTGTGAAAGGAAAAAAATAAAATCTTTTATTTTGAAAAGAAAACAAATTAAATATTTTTATTCCGTTTTGCAAGATGAAATGGAAAACGTGAATGAGCACTAAAAAAACAAGCACGAAAATTGCCACAAATCCAATTAAGACGAAAAACGGTTTTTCACGCGTCGTCTTGCAATGTGCAATATCCGCGTTAACAGTAATGAAAAAACAAAACAAAAACATTGTTTTTGTATTTATTGTTGTTGTTGTTCATGTCATGCAGCAGCTTTTATGTTCGACAACAATGCACCATTAACCGGCGAACAAAGCAGGGCAGCCACGCAATTGCCGCATACGCAGTTACACGTTTCCATTCCGTTTCCATTGAAAATCGAAAGATGCGTAAAGACTTCATCGTCGAAATTGAAACTTCAGTTAAATGAGACGTGCCATCGGTTTTGTGCAATCAAATAATTTCCATTTCTAAATCAGTTGAAAATGTTAAATGTACTCGCACTTACTTTTAAGCGCTACTATATGCATTGAGCACATCAATTTTATATTAAATTGAAAGATATTTTGTTTAAAGACTGTATATGAAACTTTAACGCTGCATCTGGGCACTTTTACTATATGATGGCTGGGGGGTTTCTGCAGAGTCCCACCCATCCCACTGACTAATTTCTTCATGATTTTTCAATGATTGATCTAAGATCTGCGTACCGCGCCGTGCGGTTAGTGATTACTCTGAGATTAGATAGTGCTACGTAGGACAGCCTATCGGTTTTCGCATATAGCTTCAGAACTCTGTCCCTTATGTATTTTTTGACCGGATCTATTCTAAGCTCTCTTAGCATGTCATTCGTGTGGATGTACCATGGTACTTTGAAGAGCCTTCGGAGAGCCTGACTTTGAGCAACTTGTAGCTTTTGTATAGTAGAGTCGGCAACTTTACTATACGCGACACACCCATAAAGTACTGCTGGTCTAATTATCTGGCTAAAAAAGCTTTTTAATAATAAAATGTACTGCCCTCTATTGTGTTGTAGTTGAAGAAGGGTCTTATAAGATTATTTCCTTAGAAACCTAAATTTATAA